GAACAGTGGTTGAAAAACACTGCTTTAACATTTTAACAGAATAAATACATAAAGTTAGGCAAGTATGAGGCATCTCACAAAAACACTGAGTGCAACAAGATTTATTCAATTAAAAGAGCTGAACTTCTAATCACTGCATCCAATCTGTCTGAGTCTGAGCTATTATGATTAAAGATACTTGGGTACAAGTTTCAGTTTCCAGATTTGCAAAGCTGGTAGAGTTTTACCACAGAAACATTCTGGTGTAATACCAGCAAAAGGTGATATGGACTCGTGGGCAATGAATACAAATGGACTGCATACCTTTCAAATTTGTATTTGAAAAAAAACAAACAAACATTGTTCTCCTTTAACTTTGTTTTGCACTGGTGTCTCACCAAAACACTAATAAAATGCAATAAAGTTTGCCCTCATAACAAAATAAGGAATATTCAAAGAATCGCATAGGTAGTTTTGGAAGGGGCTGTTTAAAAGTCACTTATTGAAAAGTTATTGGCTTTCATCAAAAACACATACTCTGACTATCTTGTGAGTTGGTACTGTGATTTTTTCTTTTCTTTTCTGCACAATGTCATATGATTCCCAGAGTAAGATATTTCTGTAAGTGGAAAAAAAAAAGAAAGAAAAAAAAGCTGCTGTTCATGTTAATTCCTTGTCTTTGCAGAAAAGCTGTGAAAGCTACACTCGTCTTGTTACCTCTGCTGGGGATCACCTACATGCTGTTTTTTGTCAATCCGGGGGAGGACGACATCTCTCAAATTGTTTTCATCTATTTTAACTCCTTTTTACAGGCTTTCCAGGTGAGAATCATTTTCTTTCACACAGTACAACAGTGGGCAACCGTTGGTGTTTTTTTCTTTTTTTTTTTGCCAGGGTTGCATCATTTATTTGAGCCGCTTTTGAGTTTTCTGGTGGGAAGATAATTTGAGCTAGCATTCTAGCTGTGCTTACACAGTCTACTTCCCTCCTGCCTTATGTTCTGTACTCTCACATGTCAAGATTAGCCAGCCCATGTGGGCTAGTTTTCTACTCTGTAGCTATTCCTTTTATTGGTGTATTTTTTTTTTTTTTTTAAATCTATGGATAAATGGAAGGAGGGCTGGTGACTCATATTTTTTCCGCAGTATAATGGTAATAACTTTTTTTTTTTTTTTACTTGACTTGTGTTTTATAGCATTTGAAAATATATGGTCTTATATTTTACTTACGCTGATAATGTGTCTTATTCTACAGGGATTCTTTGTGTCAGTCTTTTACTGCTTTCTAAATGGAGAGGTAAGTCACTGATGTTCGACATTTAAAATAACATTAATCACTTTGGGTTTTGATTCATAGTCCTAATAAGTCCCATATACATCTCCTCAAATATTTTAATGTCTTTTTTTTTTCTAAATGTGCTAAAACTTAATCTGACAGAAGCAGCTTTAACCAAAATGTATGTTATGAAATAGTCTTCACATACATTGAAATTTTCACTCTGGAATGTTTCTCCTTTGATATGATAGAAAATTGCTTCAAGTGCTGCAATTATCATCTGATTAAAAATAAAGGCAAATTCACAGAATGCCAGTAGCTGTCTGACAGTAATCAAAACCAGTTTTAATATAGAAAATTTGAGGATAATTAAAAAAAAAAAAAAAAAAATTCCCTTCTCACCCTCCGCGGGTGGTCTCTTTCATCCTCTGAGCTACCTGAAACTAAAAGTTGATTATATTTATGGCTTGCACATTGAAAAGCTTAGAAATATTAACATCTAATTTTGTACAACGTGAGAGTTCAAAGTCAGCTTGCTATTTTATTAATTTCTATCAAATTGTGGAGACTGAAATGAATCAGTTCTTCACTTTTAAAAAAGGTCTGGTCGTTTCCTTTTTCGTAAACAATAGCAATGTCACACTGTGAGGTAAATAACTATTTGATCCCCTGCTGTGTCTTTGCTCACAAACAAATGGACTGACTCTAAATCATAAGGTGGTTTCATTTTGGTGTCAAGCAGTATGTATGTATGTATGTATGTGTGTGTGTATATATATATATATATATATATATATATATATATATATATATATACAGCATTGTGTGAAATTAAAAAAAAAATTGTTTCTATGACACTGTGTGTTGTTTAATTGCCTACAACATATGTCTATTTATTGTTTACAGAAGTCCTTATCTCCACTTTTTACGTGAATAAATCACACCTGTTCACAGAATTTGTATCTGAATTTGCTGCAGAGCTGGATAGATCAAACTGTGAAAGAATGCCAGAGACAAGCCAGTAACTCTCAACAAGTCTGGAACGGGCTCCACAAAAATTAAGAAAACACGTGTAGTTTGGTCTTTTGGAGTGACTATTGAGAAATGAGAAAACTATTAAATAACCATGATTCTCCCGTGGTCTGGAGTTCCATGCAAGGACTTGACTTGAGCAAAGTTTATAATTATAAAAGTGAAGGGTCAGTTCTGAGATACACACGAGGAACATTTCAATGATGGGACCACAGATGGGACCACAGTCACCAAAGATGCTGCTGGGAACATACTTTGCTATGTCATGCATTGATATCTTAAATCCCATAAAGAAAGACCATGCACATCATGCTCTAAGGTTTTTCTGTTAAGATTAAAATTACTCAGGGTAAGCTTGGGAGACATTATTGTGGGTCAGGCTTTATCTATCACCCCGTGCATGCCTGCATCCTTTCTTTTGGAGTGGTATGGCTAGACTTCTCCTCTAGTGATGTAGATCATTCTCCCCACACGTCTAAGCAATGCATGGAAGTATGAATCAATGAACAAAGAGCATAGTCTGACAAAAACTACTGTTTGGAGGCGTTATCATAATTTAATCAAAAACTTGTTCAGACACCAGTTTGTTCTTTAAAAGTAAACCTTGTCTGATCCAGAAGTAAAATCAGACTTCAGTAAAGTTTATTAAATTTAAAGCCATGGGAGTTCATTAAACTTCCGACATCTAATGAAAGTTTGTTCTTTTGGTGCAGAAAGTCTTTTTTAATGTTAGAAAATTTAAGGACAAATATTGTACCAGAACTCTGAGAGCTGTGGATATGAAAGTTCAGCATAGCAAGTCACATGAAACAGACAAAGAGCAAGACAGTCGCTCCACAAATGTAAAACTAATTGTAAATAGTGAGAAGGCTTAAGCTCAAAGCAAAAACCACAGATACAGTTTTTGAAAATGGAAAAATGGAAAAAGCTGAAAAATACAGCCTTTATTGTATTATATAAAACCATAGCATATTGTTTGTAATTTGGTATATCCAAAGAGTAGAAAAATGGCCTTGAATTTAGACTTCATATGCATATTTACTTATTTAAAGATGTTTCATCCTATATCTGTAATGTCGGTAAGAATGTCGATGCTTCAGTTGTCTGCTTTTCTAAAACCTTCAACTTCAATCTTCACTTTTTACTTGTTTGTTCTACTTGAAAAGGAAATTGCTGCTTATGTAAATTCATAGCAAATCTCATGTAAAGGCACTTTGCAAGACAACAAGATGCAATTTTCATAGAAAAAAAAATAAAATATATATATATATATATAAATATATATATAATCAATCCAATCTTACAGACAAATTCAATTTCACTTACAAATTCAACCTGAATTGCACATTCCAATTAGATCCTGATTGACAATGCAGTGAAGTTCAGTTGTGTTTCAGGTTCATAAGCCAGCATTTTACATTTTATGCAAGGAAGATGTATATTCCATCCTTACAACCTGCTGTTTTTGCTCAACATTTCAGGTCCGTTCTGCAGTGAGGAAACGGTGGCACCGCTGGCAGGACAACCACGCTCTTCGAGTGCGAGTGGCACGAGCCATGTCCATCCCCACATCGCCGACCAGGATTAGTTTTCACAGCATCAAGCAGACCACAGCTTTGTGAGCGTGGGAATAAACTCTATCCCTTCTGACATGCTCATCCAGAGAACATCCTTCATGATTTTGGTCCAGCATTCTAAATTAGGCCGAGTACTTCACAGTAAACTGCTTAGTGTTGTGTGTCCAAATCAACAAGACACTCCTTTTTACTGCTGAGGTTTCAAATACTCATGAATTAGTTTGCTAGATGATGCATTGTTTTACGGAAATGTACAGTGTGTAAAGTACAAGATTTGAAATTCTTTGAAGAATGTTTTACAGCAAAGATGAATCACCATTCACCAACAAAGCAGGTCTTGCTTTGCTTTTTATTTCTGTCAAATAGCTGCTTAGTGGTTATTTATGGGAAGACAAGAATTTAGCAGGATCTGCAACTCATCCACTCATAGACATAGATGCTGAAAGAGTGCAATCGATAAAACTTGAATTGTAATTGACCACAATGCAGCCTCTTGTCTGCCAAAACAACCATTTGTCTTGAAAATGATCAGAAACTAAGAAAATCTAACTTTCTTAATAAAAACTGGAAACGGTTATTTTGGATGGAGGTGGTAAAAGGGAAACGTTTTGTCTTATTCTGTTCTGCTTTACATGTTGTCGGGGCATTTCTTCACACAATTTTACTTTCACCTCTCCTCTGGCCATTTGTTCCCAGCACTGTTATTTCTCCGGTGTGCAAAAACAAACAAGAGGGAATTGACTGAAAGAAAAGTCTACTTCAGGACATGTTTGATGCCACTGGTTCCCCAATCCCAAGTTAAATCTCGAGTCCAGACAAGCAAATCTAAGATTATAGTTATTATTTTAAGAAGTGAAAATGATTCTTAGCCATTTATGCAATATTTGCATATAGAGCACAAAGTGTTGTGCACGGGTATATCGTGCATGTGAAGTGAAAGCAGATTAAATTCTTTTTGGCTTAATGAAATCCTCGTGGCTTTCTCATAATCAGTGTCACAACTAAGCTTTTGCTGCTGAAGAAGGGAAGCCTGATGGAGTGGGAACCAGTCACATCCCTAAAGACGCGTTTCGGTCAGGTCAGCGTATTCTCTCAATGTAATGCCAGCTTTTACGTCTCACAAGGCTTATCCCACAAAGTCATGGAAACAGCCATGTGTCTGCTTTGGTATTTGCCCAAAAAAACTTTTTGCTGAGGGATTAAAAGAGGATGAGAATTATTGATTTTTTTTTTTTTTTGAAGAGATTACGAAAATAAAAAAAGCATATTTATTGATGATCTAAAATGCTGCTGATGTTTAAGCCTGACTCATCAGATCATCTGCATAATTATCTAGAGTTGTTGAAAATGTAGAAAATAGATTTTCAAAAATAAGTGTATTAATTTTTGAATTTCTGTTAATACTCCAAATAAACTCTTACCAGTTTTCTGTCATTTTGATGCCACACAGTGTGTCAGTTAAATAACTAAATGTATACATGTGTATCTCAGTACATTAGAATACCACACTTTTTCTTTCCAATAAACTTTCCATTAAAATACTAGAATAAATCACTTTGTGAAGAGCCTTGTCTATTTAGCAAAGATCTTTTTTGACTTGCCCTCATTGAGGAAGACGTTAGTGACCCGTTACTCGACAACTGTCTTGTCAGCAGTCCTGACAATAACTGTGAAGGCTATAAGATGAATTCATATAAGCCATAAGATAATACTATATGATAACATGCTCTCAAATTATTTTTAATTAGTGGCGTCTAATACAATTTTTTTTTTTTTGAAGAGACTGGGCTTTCATTACCTATAAGGGATAATAAGTGAAAAATTAACACTTGAAGTACATCTAAAGTGTGATCAAGCTGCATAGTTTTACCATTTTTTGTGAAATAAAATAACTTTTTGATAATGTTCTAATTTATTGAGAGACACCATACTTGCTGGAGTATACATTGTAGGCTTGGGTAAAAGTTTGACCAAAATTCTTTTTTTCAAAAACTGTGTTTAAATGGCTTGTATAAAACATAAAATATGTAACCATCTGTTTATGTAAAAATGTGCTTTTCATTGTTGTCTTTGTAAACTTGTGTTAAACTAAAGCAAATTTGTTATTGCTGTTCTGTTCTTACTACACTGATGGTGGCTAGTGTAGAAACTATCTACCCTAGACTGATTTGTTGTAAATATTATATCTGCTTCACTTCAGAGTCACGGCATGAAGCTGTAATACAGCACATCTTTCCAGGATCTCTACAGGTTACATAAAGTTAAAAGGACTACATGATGCTACTATTGTAAAAATGTGAAATAATCTTATAAAAAACAAGATTTATTTAAACTCACCAAAGAGACAACCTTTGTTTACTAACTTACAGTTTTTATTGTCTACATATTTATATTGTCGTCAGTGGACTATAGTTAATGAATCTGTTTTTAACATGATTTTTTTTACATCAATTTCTGAACATGAAGTGTAATCAACAAAGTCAGATGTCAGATCTGTAGATTTTAAGGAAGCCACCCATACTGCCTTACAAAACAACAAGAAATGTATTTTTGTGAAAAGGAAGTTGTCTCTATTGGTTAAAATAAAAATTTCTGTTATTGTGCCTTTGATTTTTACTCATTTCTGAACAACATACACATTTAAACTGATTCATACCTTTCACAAAAAGCAACAGAAGACAATTTTTTGATATTACAACAAATCACTAGCTTTAAAGAGGGGGGGTTCTGACATGTTACACACACATTCACACACACACACACACACATATATATATATATATATATATATATATATATATATATATATATATATATATATATATATATATATATATATATATAAGCATGGTTACTTGATTGTACAAGTAATTTAGGACTTAAATCTATTTTATTTAATGGATCTTGGATTTTTGAAATTTCTTTGGAATTAATAATGTATTTTTAATTTAATTGAAATGAACCAAAATCCATGTAAATATATGTTTTAGATAATGTGATTTTGATATTTTAAGACTAGTTGGAATAATTGTTTCTTTTCTGATATGCAAAACCTCTTGGCTCATGTTATCCCTTTTTTGTTTTATAAATTATGTAAAAATTGAAACACTGAAGCACCATGGGAATAATGATATTCTTACACAAGGATACAGCTGAGCATCTCAGACAGCCCTATGCCCAATAATGCTAAGTAATCTGACATTTCCACAAATTGCACTGATATTTTTCATTTGCTTTTCCACAGGAATTAATTCAGCTGTTTTTTTTTTTTTGTTTTTTTTCCACTGCTCATATACCAGTTGTTCCTCTTCTGGCAGAGAGGAAAAATTCAAGTTTGCATGTTGTATGATATGTAATCACTGTAAAAAATTTTTCATTGAAATGTAATCATTTCAATACGGAGCCCCTAAGGGGACATGGAGAAAAAAAAAAAAGGAAAGAAAGCCCGACTTATTATCGCGAGATCCCGAGA